ATAATTTTTTATAATTATAAATAATTTTATAATTGTATATAATTCTATAATTGTTTATAATTTTATAAAATTATAATAATATAAATAAACACGGTCAAAATTTCCATAAATCATTTGCAATATATATATATAGCGATAATTGTTTTGATTTTAATCAATTTTGAGTTGAATTGGGTAAATTAATTTCCGATAACATTTGAAACGACATTCTCGGTAAGATCTCCTATGACAAAGGCAAACATGCGGTTGGGTTAACACATTGAGTTACTCAGAATGTGGTTGTGTGTATACAACACACCATTCTGTTTCTAGTAATTAAAGTTTTCCACTAAATTGCCGTAGATGTAAGAGACTCGTTGTTGTTGCATTTGCCAAACATGTATAAAATAATTAAATCCTTTTTTTTTTAATTACAAAACAAAAAAATTATACAAAATTTTCTTTCATTTGGGAAATATTTTTTTCAAGAGTAAAATTTCATTATTTTCTTATTCGAAAAATTATTTATTTTTTTACTATACCAATTTGTATCAAAATTTTGTGTTAAAAATAAAATATATATTTCTTTGAAATTTATTTGTTATAGAAAAATAATTATTTTTTATTAAGATATTTATATATTTTATGTAAGAATTTTTACTTTATAACGAACTCGTCTGACATATACTTTAATGCATGATCGAAAAACTCTCGAGTTTCCCCCAAAGGTTAATAAAATAAGAAAAAAAAATCAGAAATTCGTTTTCCTATATACATTTCGATGACACAAAATAGATTTTTATTTATTTTTCCTGTTTCCATTGCGCGCAAAAGGATAGAATCAAAATCAATAAATAATTTTCTTTCAATTGATATGTAGGACCTATTTTAATGGAAGTTTGTATTAATTTTATAATTTTTTATTCAAGAGAGAGATATATATATAGCGAGTTTTTTTTGCAAAAATTAAATTTGGAAAATTAATAATGCATCAGGAAAAAAAGTATTATTTCCCTCAAATTATGATCCTATTATTTCAAACTCAAAGAAACATTTCTTTACTAATGAACGTAGAAGATGAAAGAAATTATTTCTTTGAAAATTAAAAACATAATTTTTTTTTAAATTTTCTCATACACAAAAAAGAATATTTTTAATAATTAAAATTCCTCATTTTTATTTAATTATTAATTGTTGACATTTTTTCAAATATAAATAAAAATTAAAATTAAAATAATAATTATAATAATAAAAATAATCATAATAATAATAAAAATAATAATAATACTAATAATGTTTAGACAAATTTAATTAATAATTAAATGATGTCTTAGGACAGAAGATTATATTTCGAAGCGAAGCGTATATAAGGAATTTCTCGGTACATATACCTTATTATTAATATGCAAAACCAGATGTGTTCAATTTTAACATATGCAAATGTCAATAAAACGCGAGAATGATAAATAATAATAACTCAATTATATACAAAGAATATATTTGAATTTATTTAAAAAAAAAAAAAAAATAGCAAAATAAAAACTGGAAACAATTTTGGAAAAAAAATTATTTTTCATTTTTTTTTTTATATTTTGGAAAACTACGCGACAATGACGAAAATCAGAGGTGTTTTTTTTTTAAACAAACATGAAACAGTCACTATCTTTATAATGTTTCTGTAAACAATTTTCAACGTGTTTCATATATATAACTGTAAAACGTGTGAGAAATACCGAAAGTACTACCTTTGCTCGAATAATGTCAAGTACACTGTATGTTCAATTACTTTATTTCACATAAATTGCATTTCTTGCAAATATCGTTATATTTGTTTCAATTTTGCTTTGATAACAATTGCGCGCATTCCTAAAATATATTGGGTAAAACTACTTTTCAACAATGCGAGTTGCCAATTTGCAATAAATATTATAAATACATTAATTGTAAAATGTTTAATAACTTTCTGTATATATTGCAAAATTTGCGCGTCAAAATTAGAAAGCAAAATTCTAATTTGAAAATTTGAAAAAAAATGCAAAATTTAAATTAAAATTATTTTAAATCAAAAAAAAATTATATATAATAATTAATAAAAGAAGGTTATTAATTAATTTAATTTTTACAATAGCTTTGAATTTATCAAGGAAAAAAAATCGAACGTGGAAAAATTTTTGCACTAAAATAGGAAAAGATTTGGTTGATACAAATAAAACTTTTGCTATTCTAAGTGAAACCTTTCGTTGTTCTAGGTAAATCTTTTTTTCTTGTAAAAATCATCATTAAAAAAAAATTTTCATAAATCGACCAGAAAACTTTATATATATTTACGTTTTAAATTTCCATGTACAAATTATAATTTTGTGGCTATTTGAAATAAATTAATAAAAATATAATTAATTAATATCAATATTATAAAAAATTATATTTTTATTAGACAGTAGTAAAGGATAGTTATAATCAGACAAATCGTTCCTTAAAAAGAAAGACTGGTGACAGTAGTATAAGTCAATTTATGTCAGACATAACAGTTTAATTTTCTAATGTTTAGTTTCAGTGATATAAAAAAATTTTAGTCAGACAAGAGTTTAATGTAGAGCAATTATAATGGCAGTAGTAGAAAAGAGTTTTAGTCAGACTGAAAAAATTTAATACACTAAAATTTAATACAATTTAATTTAATTAATAGAATTAAATTTTAGTATCATCAGTAGTCAAAAATTGTTTTAGTCAGACAAAATGCCATAAATTTTGCACTACATTAAAAATCAGTGGTATAAGTCTCTTTCGGTCAGACAAATATAAAATTCTTACAATTCGTAATGTCAGTAGTCAAGTTTATTTTTAGTCAGACATTACATTTTTTCTTCTAGTTTTTAATATTCAGTAGTATAAGTCAGTTTCGGTCAGACAAAAGTTTAATGCAATTTAATTTTAGTTTGAATAGTTAAAAAATATTTTAGTCAAACTGATAAAAATTTAATTCTACTAAATTTTAGCATCAGCAGTAGTTTAAAAATTGTTTTAGTCAGACAAAATGTTTTAAATTTTGTAACAAATTAAAATTCAGTGGTATAAGTCACTTTCAATCAGACATATACAAAATTCGTAATATCAGTAGTCAAGTTTATCTTTAGTCAGACGTAACATTCTAATTTTTTCTAGTTTTTACTATTCACAAAATTAAAAATACAAAATAATTTTTTTTTTTTTGCAAACTATCACATACAGAGAAAAATATTTTATTAGCGTTTATTTGAACCAAATAAAAATAAATTTTTATTTGTTTTAAATAAAACAAAAATTTATTTAGCACAGTTACAATTTTTATTTTACTTAAATAACATTTATTTGAAGTAAATAAAAAATTGTTGAAACAAATAAATATTTATTTGGCTTTGAGATTAAAATATCTTTTTTTTAAATGCACCATTAAAAAAAAATTGAAAATTACATGTAAATTTCTAATATTTAAATAGTCACTCAGATAAAAAATAAAAACTAAAATTGTATTTTAAATAAAATTAATGTTATTACACATTCTGTGTAGATTTACATATTTTGAAGAGTTTTTGATAAATTATATCGCGAACCTTTATGTGGGATTAGGAAAAGAAAAAATGCTTTTAATATATATATATATATATATATATATATATGAAAAGCTCTACATTTCAAGTAAAACTTTTATTAGATATCGAACACGGAAAGTGGATAATGTGAGCATTTGTTGAGAACGAAGGCAGCTATTTAAATTCCGTTTGCGAATGAAAGCGCGACATTGGAAATTTATTGTTCGTGTGACGATCAGCCAAAAGAGTCGAGTGAAGTTTTTTTTCATATATAAGAAACTACGTTTCATACATATTGATACAGTCAAAAAAAATTTTTGTTTCCATAAAACATTATAGCAAAATAAATAAATTTTATTCGTAAACCATCGATGTCTGATGGAAAATAAATTTATACTACTTGGGAAAAAATTTTTTTTTCTCTTTTAATTTTTTAAAAATGAAAATACCGACAGCAAAAATTTTTTTTCAACTAAAAGTTAGTGAAAATATTTCAAATTTTGAAATAAAATTTTTTTTACCAATTTCTGTCTCCTTTTGGCACTTTTTTCTTTTTCTTTTTTTTCGAAAAAAAAACCACCCCACACTCAATTTAAATTGTAATTCAAAGCTGCAGATTTAAACTGGCGATGGATAAATTTTTAAGAGCTGGTAGTCTAAACTTATTTTAGTGGAGCGGATTATTAACCAATTCGGACGAGGAGAATTCAGATAATTGAAATTGAACTTTTCATTGAAAGTCCATTTGATTTTATATATATACCAATGGTTTCCTTTTCTCGCGCACTCTAGAAAGAAAACTTTTTTTTACAAAAAAATCTCTTTGCAAATTTTATTACAAAATCTTAATTTTTTTTTTGTTACGTTTGGAAATATATTTTTTGAAAATAGAAAAAATTAGAAAAAAAATACAATGAATAAAATTTAGTTGATTTAAATAATCGATTATAAATTAAATATTTATTTGGACCAAATAATTTTTATTTTGAGCTTTATTTGAACCAATAATTTTTGTATTTGAAACAAATACCATTTAATTAAAAAATTACGATTTAATTAAATAACAATTATTTAATACAAATAAATAATTATTCAATAGTCAAGTAACCGATTATTTGTGTCAACCAAATTTTTTTTTTAATTTTCTTAAAAATATTTTTCTACCTTTCTATGGAATATCAAATTTATTATTTTTATAAACTTATGTTTTTATAGAATTATGTATTATAGGGAGTTTATTTTATAAATAAATTAGCATAATTTAAGAGGTAATTTATAAATTGCAATTTAATAATGAATTAGAGTTTATTACATCAGAATTGTTTTCATTATGATAGATTATTATAATACAAAATTATAATTTATAATGAAGCTCCTATCAGTTATGTTATACACTTGAATGGCTTTAATTGAATATTGTATTAATTAAAAAAAAATATATTTTTTTTTCAGCACACAGACGCATGCGAACAGTGACAAATTATTTTCTTGTAAATTTGTCAGTAGCAGATTTAATGATGTCAGTTCTCAACTGCGTTTTTAATTTTATCTTCATGTTGAATTCCGATTGGCCTTTTGGAAGTGTCTACTGCACCATCAGCAATTTTGTTGCAAACGTGACAGTGGCTTCCAGTGTCTTCACACTTGTTGTAACATCGTTCGATAGGTGAGCGAAATTTTTTTTTTTATATGTAATGAAAATTATTTAGAAAAAAAAATTATTATTATGACTTTTATTGTTATAATTAAAATAATTATATATATATATATATATATATATAATTACAATTAAAAAAATTATACAAGTTTTGTAATAATTAGCTATAATAATTATAGAAATTTGTATAATAATTAATTATTAAAATTATAAAAATTTGTATAATAATTAATTATTAAAATTATAAAAATTTGTAAAATAATTAATTATAATTTAGCGATTCTCTGAATGCAAATAAGAAATTATATTTTTAAGCAAGCAGTAGTAAAAGACAGTTATAGTCAGACCAATCGTTTTTTAAAAAGTGTGGTATCAGTAGTATAAGTCAACTTATGACAGGCATAAAAATTCAATTTTCTGTTTTTTAGTTTCAGTAGTAAAAAAAATTGCAGTCAGACATTTAATTTATTTTTAATAGCAGTAGTTATTAACGGTTTTAGTCAGACGAAATGTTTTCATTTTTTTAATAAAAAATTTATCTACACAGTAGTATAAGTCAATTTATGTCAAGCTTAACAGTCGTAATTTTTTTAGTTTCAGTAGTAAAAAAATTTCAGTTAGAATATCAGTAGTATAAGTCAATTATAGGCCAGACATAAGAATTCAATTTTTGTTAGTTTCAGTAGTAAAAGAAAGTTGTAGTCATACTATCAGTAGTACAAGTCAATATATACCAGACATAACAATTCAACTTTTTTTTAGTTTCAGTAGTAAAAATAAATATATAATAATAAATTAAATAAAAATTTCTTTTCAGTAGTATAAGTCAATTTATGTCAGACACGAGTTACAATTAATAAATTAGTTTAATAATTAATTACGGATTTATCAAAATTTAAATAAAAAGAAATTTATTTCATATTTAAATATCAACACTTATTATACATTCAATTTAATATTTAATTGATGGCAATTATATTACATTATCTTTGCATATAATTATATTATAGAAGAAAATGGAATCTAATTACAGTGAAAAGTTTGAAAGAACGAACAATGGTGCCATAAATGCGGTTTATTATCTATAATAAAATTCTCTTCATTTTTTTTTGAAAGAAAGTTAAAAAAAAAAACTTGACATCATATATATTTCTGAATAGTTGAGATGATGAAAATGGAGGTAGCTATTTCTACTCTCTTTATTTGTCATGAGAAGCTTGGAAACATTTGAATATGTACTTGGAAACTTTAGTCATTAAGATTGTTGCCGGATAATGTGAAAATCTTTTCTTAATTACATTTGATATAATAAAATATTTAAATTGTCTCTCTCTCTTAATGTTTCTTTGCGAAACATTTTTTTTTTACATGTGACGGAAAATAATTTTTTTTTTAAATTTATTAATTAGAAACTTTTTATAATAGAAAAAAATATCTATTTTAAAATTGATATTTTTTTATTATAAAAGTTTAAATAAAATTTTTCAATACATTATTTATTGGAAATTTTATAAACCACGCAAAAAAATAGGTTTTTTTAAAAAAAACTATTTTTTTTATATTATTTCTGAAAAAGAAATTTAAATTTAATTAAAATTAAAATCGAGAAAATAAAAAATTTAATTATTCTACGTTTGAAAAAAATTTCTTGTAAATATTTTACAAGGAAAGAATTTTTGTAATTATGAACGCACGAAATAAGACAAATTATGCGGAAGAAAGTTCATTTCAATTTTGCTGTCTAGTTTGGGAATCGGGTTTCTCGAAACATGTTTCGGATTTTTTTTTTTGTTGGTTTTTTTGTTGCGAAAAATCGTTATATATAGTAAGTTAACGTTTTATCGGAAAACGATAAATTTCTCATGCCTTCAACAATACTAAGAAATTTCTGTCAAAAAAAGGGGAGACGTTTGTTAAAAGTACTTTTAGTTCATATATATATATATGTCAAAAATATGTACCTGTAATACATATATTTTATTCATATATTTTAGATATGTATATATATATATTTCTTAAATATATTTTTTACATTTATTTTTTAATACAATGAAATGTTACACTATTTTCATGAATGGTTGTTGTACCTTAATTTTCATTTTTATTAAAAATCACTTTAAACATACACAGAAAATTAAAAGGCATTAAAATAAGCTGCAACGTTTATTATTTTAATCCAATTTTGCTTATTTTAATACCAAAATGAATTAAAATAAGCAAAATTGGATTAAAATAATAAGCGTTGCAACTTATTTTAATGCCTTTTAATTTTCTGTGTAGTTATTTCCTGGAGATAAAAGAAAATGTAGATTTTATTTTCTCAAAAACAAAATTTTCTCTCTCTCTCTTTTTTTTTTTAATTTTCTTAATAACAAAATTTTCTTTGTTTTTTTTCAACTTTTTAAAGAAAACCAACATTTTTCGTTCGTTAAAAAAATCTTTTAATTAGAGAATGTTAAATAGAACTTTTTAGTATAAAACGTTTATTATTCAACGATCGTTTGTGGAATAAATTTTCTACTAAGTTATGATTGTTGAAAATTTTTGAATTCACTAACTACTTTAGATAAAAATAAAAGTTAAAAATCATTTAGTTCGTAAATTATTTCTTATTACTATTATTATAATTAAAATTACTATCGTTATTACTATATAATGAAAAAAATTATTTGATTAAAAAATAATCGATTACTTGATTATTACACTGAAAAAAGGGTTTGGTATTGACAATCAAACGTTTGGTTGGTATTTAAGCAAGCAAAATTTTTTTTGTTGAATCAACAAAATTTTAATTGTCTCAATCAAAATTTGTTTGACACAACCAAAATTAGAAAAAAAGGATTTTTGTTGTCCTAACTAAAATTTGATTGAGACAACTAAAATTTTGTTGATTCAGCAAAAAAAATTTGGTTGCTTAAATACCAACCAAGCGTTTGGTTGTTAATATACCAAACCTTTTTTTCAGTGTATCAAATAAACATTTACTTGAACCAAATAGTTTTTTTTTTATTTAAATAAAATAAATTGGTATTTAAACCAATAATTTCTGTATTTGAAACAAATAGAATTTAATTGAAATAATTATACCATTTAATTAAATATAATAATTAGGTTTAATATAAATAAATTTAATAATAGTCAAAGGAACCGATTTATTGAATGAAAATGTAAATTGTTTCACCTGACTTAAATGAACGATCGAGGAGGTCTATATCAAGTAAAAATTTTGTTATCTATCGGTATTGAAAAAAATAGCAGTATATCAGTATCTGTGTGTGTGTGTGTGTGTAGAAAATAGTGATGCATTCGATCGAATCAATTCAGGGAAACGAGCGACATTGTCATTTATTCTGAGTGTGACAGTTGAGAGATTTTATCTAGTGACATGATTGAGACAATCACAAAGTGGAGACGAGACGATATTCTCGTATTCCAAACGATATTTTTAAAGTGATACAATCGATAAAATCTGTTTTGAAATTTTTTTTTTTCACGTTTCAAAAAAAAAATCTCTACGTGTATGAATTTCCATTCTTTAGATTGAAATTGGAAAAAAAGTGGAGAATTAAATTATTTTTATTTATTTTCTTGATAATTAGAATTTTTTTTTTAAATTTTACTGTAAAATAATAATATATTTTTTTTTAAACTGATTTCAACAAATAAGCAATTTATTATTATTTTAAATTTATTGGAATCACTATAATATATTTCATATATATAAGAGAAATCGATATTTGTAAAAGGGAATTAATATTCAGAGGATGTAAATCTGGACCTTCTTGTCAGCAAGTATTCAATAATTTGTTTACTGCTGTTCACAGTAGTCAGTAATGAACTTTTGATGAAAACAGCGAAATAGTCGCACGTTAATTGAGAGATAAAGTTGCGGCATTTAATTGTTTATAACTTGTAATTATTATAATATTAAATAAATTTTTTATATTTCTTGCAATTATCGATCAACAAAATTATAAAAGAAATTTTTAAAAATAATTAAAAAATAATTTTTTTTCAAATCGTTGATCATAAAAATCTGAAGTTCTAATTATAAATTTTTGATTGATCTATTTTTAAATCATAATAGTAATAATAATAATAATAATAATAATAATATTAACAATAGTAATTTTTTTTTAATAGATGGGAAATTTATTTATTCTCACAAAATGAAGAATTTTATAAATATAACGATTTTCCTCTTTGACAATTGTCTACAGTGAAACTTTAATTTCACAGCCGAGCAGTCAGTACTTATGGCAATTTTACATTGGAATTTAAAAATCGAATTTAATTAACATTCTAGATTTCTAAATGGTCTATTAACAGATGTAATTTTATTTTTTTTGTAAGTTTTACAATCTTTTACATACTCTCTAAATTTGAAATAATTACTTTCTAAATCTGAATTAGTAAAAAATTTTAACTAATTTGAATTAGTAACTCAAATTTTGCTTTTGAATTAGTAAAATTTTTTTTTTTATTTCTAAAAAATTTATTTTATTCAAATACTCGATTACTTGATTATTATCCAAAAAATATATACTTGAAGCAAATAATTTTTATTTGAATTAAATAAATTTTATTTGAACCAATAATTTCTTTATATGTGAAAAAATACCATCTCAAATAATAATTATTTTTGAAATATTTATTTGATAATATTCAAGTAATCGATTATTTGAATTAAATACATTTTTTTCAGTTTATTTTGTTTCTAAATATCATTAACTGAAACGATGAGAATTTTTAAGAAAAAAAATATTGTATTAGATTAATAAAAAAAAAAAAAATTATTAGTTAAAACTAACATTTGGCTAAAACTAACATTGAAAATATTCGTAATAGTTATGCTAATGTTATAGAATAATGTCAATTTAATGTGAGGATTTTGCATATGACAGAAGTGTCTACGCTTTAAATAGTTCCCCCTTATAAATGTTAAAAGCAATTATTATTAGAGCATTTAATTAAATTTCGTAATTGAACAAAAGAAGCAGGTTCTTTTA